TAATATTTCTTTATCTCTGTGGTGATATGAAGATCTGATGTACACATACCTGTGACATTTCTCCGGCACAGGGCATGTGATCTCTGCTGGTTTTGTTTTGTGAGGTCAAAGGTCGTGTCTCTTATCGCATTCCATCCTTCTCACTCACAGATTCTTAAGTAACATTTGGAGAATTGTTTTGTTTGGCCACCATAGAAACGCCTGTGAGATAAGCAGACACTGTTGATTTCCTAGGAAGACGTGTGTTTGCTGATCTGCACTGCCCGCGTGTGGCAGGAATATGCTTGTGCAACATTGATTTATTTCATATTATCATCACACAGTAACCTACCATTAGGGCTGCTTGATTAATAAAACCGGAAACCTGATATGGCTTGTTGCAATTCTAAAATGGCAAAGGCTGTGATTTAATTAAATATGTGTGTGTATATATATATATATATATATATGTATATGTATGTATATATATATATATATATATATATATATATACTCGGTTTTCTGTGAAAATAATATTTCACTGTTTAAGAAAAATTATACTCTTTTTCTTAAATCCTCTTAAATATTTTTCTTTAAATACTTTAAACATAATGTATAGTATTTGTATATAATATATAGTATAATATTTTAGTAATATAATATATAGTAAAATACTAATAGTAATGTTCATTTTTTTTGTTGTCTTTATTTAGTGATATGGCTGGGTGTGATAATCAGTTCACATAGGCTGTGATTTAATTTAATAAATATACTGCAATTTTGGTCAAAATAAATGTTCAGTGTAGGGGTGTGCGATATTGACTAAAAAATAATCTCAATATTTTCTGCGATTTTATCGATTACGATAATTAGATATTTTGCTGAGTGTGTTATTGTGCTGGTATCTTGAACTGATTCTTAAAGTTTTTGATATCCTTCATATTCTGTGTGGTGGTCAGTTCACACTGATGGAAATAAGTTTAAATAGATTTTTAACTTTTATGGGCAGTTTTACATTTATAAAGCCATTTTCTTTCTAAGAGTGTCCATTATCTTTTGAGTCAAATTTTTACATTTAATCCGTGAATTAGATAATGCAGAGGAAACACAGAAGCTGCATATGAAGTGGCATTTAGATGTGTTTACACACTGTTTAATGCAGGACATGAATGCGTTTAACCTGCAGTTACAAATGCATAAATAATATTTTGATATATGAATTATAAAATGTTGAATACTGATATTTGGAATTATTTAAATAATAAAGACACTTTATATGTAAAATTAAAACCACCAGTAGGTGGCAGCAAGTCACTGTTAATAAGTGAGTCATTGCGATTGAACCGAATCATTTAAACTGTTGATTCATTCATGAACGAAACACTGTCATGTTGCTCACAGACGCAAAACAGTGCTGTGCCTGTGTTTGGAATTCTTTTTTTTGGTGAAATAGAGGAAAAACAGCCAAAATGGTGTCTAAAACGTAAGTCTCTTAATTAACTTGTTGTAAACAAAAAATCTATATCACATTTGTAATCATGGTAATTTTTGGAGAAAAAAACGGCACACCGTGTGAAATTGATTAACTATGTGAACTTGAAGTGGTATAAATGTATAAATTTTCTGCCCCCATGACTTGAATTTTGTGATCATTCTAAATGCATTTTAATAGACTGAATCATGCAGTGAAAGAACACACTCTAAATGCGCATGCGCACTAGTCTAGACTTCACGTAATGTATGCATGCACTCTGAGGGTGTGTTTTGAATGGTTTTTGCAAAATACTCAATGTCAACTCGCACATCGTTAAAACAACAATTACGATATTATCGCAGACGATATATATCGCACACCTCTAGTTCAGTGTTTTAAATATTTAACATTTGAAAATGAATAAATTAGCTTTGTAATTTTTATAGTTGTAGTGTAAAAATAGGGCTGGGTATCGATTCAGATGTCCCGATACGATTCTCAATTTTTTTTTAATATAGTTTTAATACAAATGCTATTGATATTTAAAAAAAATTAACGGTAAACATCAGTTTACAAATGGTGAATTAATAAAAAGAAATTAAGAACCACATGCCTGTATTTTAAACCTATACTTTTTTTTTGTATGCGTCATTTTTGAAACAATAATAAGGCCCTATAAAATGTTCTTAATTTTTCTGGTAATCAGATGAAGGCGTAAAACATTAATTTAATTTATCCTAATCAAATCAATATTAAACCCTTTTATTTTTTTGGCAAACAAAGTGCTGCACAACAGAGGTTTACTGTTAAAATGAAAAAGAAAACAGATGTGATTATTCCTTTAAAAATAAAGATTTATTAATATTTATTAGCAGTAGTAGCATTGATTCTTAAGCAAGCGTCATTCCGTGCTTTAGTATGTGTATAAACAAAACAGTGCGCCCCACCATTCATTCACTGCGGAAATCATGGCGCCTTATGCGTGATATCAAATGCTTCCGCAGATTTATAGTATTGCTATAGCATTTCACCTGAGCATTGCGAATCACGCGTGTGGCCATAAGCACTGAATGAATGACAGGCTTTCTGTTGTAACATCGCGCAAGATAAATAAAGGGTGACATCTAGTGGAGAAGACTAATGATAAGATTCACGTTAATCAGATCTTGTTTTAAATGTGTGCTGAAATAAAGGCTGGAAAAGATCGATTCGCGGCTTTTAAGAATCGATATCGAATCGATGTCATTTAAAAAAAAAACGATTAATCAAAAAATCAATTTTTTTGCCCAGACCTAGTGTAAAATAAAATATTATTTATGTATTGTATGTTATACTGTTTTTTTTTGTCAAAAAAGTGAAGTAATTAATACAATCATAAATATTAGCTTTGTCATTTTAAAGTTATTTTATTATTTTTAGAGATGCACCGATTGCAATTTTCTTGGCCGATTCTAATTTCCGATTTTGTCGTTAGTGTGATCTGCCGATACCGATTTTTGCCGATTCCGATTTTCTTTCTAAGAACTATAATTGACCGCATATACAAACAAAAATCTACTTCCCTTCAATGCAAAGTTTTATTTTCATTAAAAAACAAGTAAAAAGTCAGTAATAAAATAAGAACAAATTAAAAAAATGGCAAACAACAGCACAAATAAATGCAATAGAATAAAGAGAGCTATGAAACTAAGTTTTTCAGGTCAAGTAAGTTTTTATTAATGTAAGAAATACTACTGAAATTCAAGTAATCAAATGTAAAATAACACATCCAGTGTTATTTTAGATTTGATTACTTTAATTTCTGTAGTCTTCATTGTAAAAATTAAATACAGATTAATGCTTACCATTAAAGTTATAAAACGTATTCAGTAAAGAGCAGAAAATGATTTTCTTTGTCTTTTGTTCTTTGATTAACATGACAGACAGCAGCAGGAATATTGGACTGCGGTTCCTTTAAGAGTTTATCCACGGACACAATATACTGTTACACAACATGCGTTCTCTTTTTCAACTATTTAACGTTCCAAAACTGACTGTGTTTAATTGGATACTCGCCAAGATGGACATTTTTACATAATTTTGTATGTATTTGACAGTTTTAGCGCAGTTAGCCACTCATTTTGGTATTTGTTGCTCACAAGCTGTTTGAGACTGAGCACAGCTTGTGCGCTCCACTAATATAGATCAGTGGTGGTGCGCTCGCATTTGGTAGAAGCGCAAAACCTGCGGGAATGACTATCATGTGCAATACAAGCACTATTTAACCGGAGCGAATGAGACGTGTGTGAGAGAGAAGGGGTCGTCGGAGAGATGAGGGTGAGAATGCGTGGCTGACATTATTGCCTGTGCCGCTGGTAACAAAACGGATTGGCTCAGAATCAGAAAGAAGTGAGACTGACCGGCCAACCACCGATCCGGGCCGATCGATCGGTGCATCTCTAATTATTTTATTATTAATGTTTTTCTTATACTCCATTTTTTTTATTTTAGTTATAGTATTTGTGTATGGGTCAAAGACGAAAAAGGGTTTAAGCATAAAAACAATAAGTGTAATACTGCTTTAAATGGTTGTTTTCCTCCAAAAAAATTAAAACGTTTTCTGTTTAAATGAATTGCAATTTTGTTTTAGTTTTTCTGAGCAAAAAATAAATATCGTACATTTTTCCCTGATTTACAAAAGAGACCCACTAAAATGTAATTCAGTGTAACAAGGCGTTTTTACAACGAAAATCAATTTATGACACATTAAAAGACTAATTACTTTCACCCCAAATACTAATTAGTTGTATCTTTGACCCGTATACTATATAGTGTATTTTAATAATGGGTAGTATAGTAGTAATAGTAATGTTTCCTTTATTTTTGTAGTAAATTTAATATTTGTAATAATAATAATAATAAATTATTATTATTAATTTATTTTTATTATTAATAATAATAATACATAGTTATTATCACACATTTTTGGCCAAATTGTGCAGCCCTGCAAACAAGCACAGAAAGCTTTTTTTATTATTATTATATATAATCACATTTTAAATGTTTTTTTTTTTTCAGAAAAATCACTATTATATCTTTTCCTCAAACCGTGCAGCCCTACCGTATAATCTCTATTTAACAGCAGCAGTTTCTAGTGTTTAGAAAATGTGAAATGAAAATGTCTTTGATTAAAAAGTGTGATTTTTCTGTCTTAAACTCAATACTATTGAAATCATATTGTATTGATATAGTTTTGAAATGGATTCTGATTAGTTTATGGCCCATGATGTCTTTCCCCTCCTCTTTCTATTTGCTTTTCCTACTCGCTTTCTTTCCCACCTGTTTTCTCTCTCTCTCTCTCTCTCTCTCTCTCTCTCTCTCTCTCTCTCTCTCTCTCTGTCTGT